AGAGATGGGGGGGGGGGTTGAAAGAAGAAAAGAGAGCAAGCCAGAGAGCGTCGGGTGCTGTGTCAGTCTGATATTTTCCATAGTGACAGCTGGGCCCAGAAGCTCAGAACCTTTTCTTCTGGCACACAAAGCCCATTAAGTATGCCACTCGCTCAATGGCCCCCGCAGCCTCCAAATTGCTCCAAGCTCCTCCCTAAAGTGTGGCAGCCTTTGTCATTGTAATCAGGCCTTGTATGTGAAGTGCTGCCTGTATTTACTGCTGCTCAGGGTGCATATTTGCCCAGCCTGCTGCTGCCGGGTGAGNNGAGAGAGACACACAGAGAGAAAGAGGAGAAGCCTAAAAGACAGAAAGATAGAGTTTGAGAGCAGAGAGGATGGGGGATAGTTGCCGGCGTGAGCAGAAAGAGGATAGGAGAGTGGAGAGAAGGTGCGGCCACTCAGGTCAGAGAAAGGGAAGTAAAGAAATCAGCAGAGGGGAGGCCTCTAAGAATTTGACTCTTGTGAGGTGACAGGGGGGTCAGGCAATCCCGCTCAGCAGGGGGACAGAGTGTGTGAGCACTAGGATGCTAGTCTGGACCGCGGGGTGGAGAAGGAGGGGTACGACGGGAGGGCTTATTTACAGCTCCTTCGGATGCTGCATGGCCGGAGGGGCTTTGTGGTACACATTAAGAGATTGAAGTTGGAGGAAGAGAGGAAGAAAGTCTCCGAGTGAGTTTGGATGAGTCTAACTGACAGGCAGTGTGACAGAGAGGTACTGCAGACAGACAGAGCAGCAGACGACGCAGAGGAGTGGAGCGATGTGATGCCTTTTGGCAGAGCTGACCCCATTCCACGTGTCAGGCCCCCTCCCCTCGGCTGCCCCTGTGGGGAGGCCCAAGCTGTGGATCGGGCTGGGTAGGCACAGGAGGGGGGTCTCTAGAGATGACGGTCATCCAAAGTGGCATCCAGACCAAACTTTGTCTGTCTCTTGGCCTTTTCCTTTCACTCTGAGTGTGTGCGCACACGCCTGTTAAAAATTCATAACTCCCACAAAAGAGACAGGAAGGAGAAGTATAATGAGTGAGTAATGAAGAGCCAGAGGCAGTTTGTGTCTTCATCGTGTTAAATAAAAACAGCAATATATTTTATATACACCACCCAAGTTGATTATGTTAAAGAAACGGACAAAAATGGTGAATAAAAAAAGCCAAACACTGACTGGGTCTAGCTCCACACACAATTTAAGATTTGCTGCTTTTCTTTTTCATACATTGTTGTAAACTAAATATCTTTGAGTGTTGGACTTTTGCTCAAACTAAACAGGACTGATTTGATGGTCCTAAGATAACTTTTTGGCTCATGCTCCAATGGCAGATAAACTGAGATAATTTACCAGCCAAAACTAACAGCCTAACTGCGTTCAGGACTCCACCTCTCACAAAAACGCTGACCTCTGGGACTTTTCTCTTCATCTTTGTTTTCTTTTTGGTGGCTTATCACTTGGAATGTACCGCCACTGTTTCTAATAAAGTTTAATGCAAAAAACCCCCAAAATGCAATAATGAACATTCAAGTTTAGTTAGATGCATATGATGAAGTCAGCTGATTTAGTTTAGATAATTTGAACTCATAATAGTAGGTCAGCAGTCTTTCCTTTTTTTTAATTCAGCTCACTTTACTTACTACAGTCAGTATGTTTAGACAATAACGTGGGCTAAATGAAGTTTCTTTCCGTTAGTTTAGTTTAATTCAGTTTAGTTAATTAGCACACAATTATTCAGCTATGAGAGCTTATAAAAAAGATTGAAGATGTGGAGTTAAGAGGAATAAAGGAAGTTTAGTTTTGATAATGAATTCTTAAATAAGTGGGCAAACTTTTTTGAAAGTTTAAATTTTAGTTAAATTCAGTTTACTTTAGTTTAATTTTTATTTAGTTTAGTTGAGTTTAGCTAAATTTAGTTGAGTTTCGTTTAGTTGAATTCAGTTTAGTTTATTAGCACATTATTTGGTGACACCGGTAATGTGTTGAATCTCTATTAACATGTAATACAGATGTTTCTTATGACAAAACATAGTCAGACATTGTTTAGAAAGCTCCAAATTGTAGTCAGCGGCTTTGACTCTCTGACGCTGCTATAGGTACGGTGGACAGTGAGGATCACATTACCAGCCACCAATTCATTATCATGCCAAAACCAAAATTTAACTACATTCGGCACTTGCCGGGTATTCATTTTGAATCCTGAATCAAGGTTGGAAAGGATCTTTGCACCCAACAATGTGGATTTGTCACTTTCATTGGAACCATGTTAGGAAGGGATCTTGTTATTATTAGAGCAGGATTAAACTGTTACAATGTACATATGAGCAGGTGATTCAGACTTGGAAAAATGTGAATGTGTCCTTTAACAAACATGCTATGTTGCATTATGTGTGTGTATGTGTAAATGAACTACAAAGATAGATTTCTTTTAATCCCTTCCTTATATAGTTGTGTGTGAAGTGCGTGCCTGTGTCTAATGTGAGCTGACAGATATGGGTATGATCACGCTGTATGGATGTTAGAGAGAAAGAGAGTGAGGTTGGGGGTGTGGAAGTGAGGGAGAGGGAGAGCGAGGGCAATAGAGCCATCGTGTTATGAACCTGATTGTTATCATGAGACCGGGAGCAGGACTCTGATGTCAAACGTCCATCTGTGCATGAGCCCGGAATGTGTGTGTGTGTGTGTGTGTGTGTGTGTGTGTCCAATACAAGCTAAAAAAAAAAGCTAAAGAAGTCTTTTACTTATTCCATATCCCCAGATCAAGACTGTCTCCCCAAATTATACACAACTCTCAAACACAAATCTACACACTTATTACAGGGAGAAACTTTTCCCTTGCAGCAAAGTGGTGACCCCTTTGTCTCTCTACCAGCGCAGTCCAAAGTTGTTACCACTGGAGATGCAGAATAATGATAATGAACGTGTAGGAGTGAACATTTAAGAGGACTTTTGAATAATGATGATGAAGATGGAGTGAAATTTCCATTAATTAGCTCACGCGGGTCATTTTCTCAACAAGGCCCTGTTTCCTTCTCTGCAGTGTGTGTGTATGTGTGTGTATTTGTTTAAACTTTATTGTCACCAGTGTCTCCAGGACAGCTGGAGGCTATGTCATAGTTCAGCCGCTTGTTATACAGAGCAGAGAATTAGAGGAGAGAGGTGGTGGGGGAGTGTGTATTTGTGTGTTTGCATTCATTTCTGTGCGTTTGCATATGCCTGTGAACGTGTGTGAGTGTTGGGTCCTATCTGGGTAGTGGAACAGAAGGATGGAGGTGAATGGTGAAGTTAATAGGCTAATGAGAGAACCGTGCTCAGCAAGAGTACAAGAGGCTGTCTGGCATCCTCTGATAAAAAACTTGCTGTGGCATTAGTGGAAACCCAGCAGTCCTCCTCCACAGCAACACCTTCTTTGTCCACACACACACACCAAAAGCCAGTTTAATAAGCAGGTGAATTCCATTATATGCTGTGTGTGTGTGTGTGTGTGTGTTTCTCTTTCACTGGTTTTGGGCCATGGAAGCAGGGACGGGGTTTGAGATAGTGGAGTGAAGGGATGCGGAGAGGAGATTTGTGTACTTGATGACTACTTTAACAGTTTAATGTTTAGATCACTAGATAATAAGAATAAAAGTGTCAAGTTTAGTTTAATTCAGTTTAGTGTAGTTTAATTTAGTCTAGCTTAGTTAATTCAGTTTAATTTGATTAAGTTTAACTCATTAAGTTTAGTTTGGTTTAATTAATCTTCATCTCAGTAAAAACAGTTTGTAGTGTTAGTTGACAGTTTGGGCCTACAAAGGGGGGTTAAGTAAATTTTAGTTTCTTGTTTTTTTTTGTTCTGTTCTTCCTTTTGTTTTCTTTCTTCAGATAAAGAAAGAGTGAGTTTAGTTTAGTTTGAACACGTGTATCTAGCACATAAGGATCAATGAATGTGGGGTTAGTTTAGTAAAAACAGTTTGGGCTTATAATAGTAGTAGCTCATTATACAGTTTAATTCAGTTTAGTAGTGAAAATGTGTCTTTTGCTTTGGTTTAAAGTAGTTTACTTTAGTAGCACACACTTATTCAACTGTTCAAGCTTATAATAAGTGTAGTGTTTAGTTTAGTTTAATTCAGTTTAATTTAAAACTCAGAATTATTCAAGCAAGAGGAGTAGTTTAGTTTAGTTTAGTTTAGTTTAGGAGCAAACATTTCTTCAAGCTTATGATGAGAGGTAAATGATTTGGTTTGTTTTCAGTTAGTTTAGTTTAACAGCACACAATAAGTCAGTTATTTAACTTACAGGAACATAGTAAATGGTCAGGGGGGAACTGATTTGAGTTGGTTTTAGTTAAATACCACACATTTATAAATATACATATTTACATTTTCTCACCAAAGGAGTGATTATTTGGGAATATGAAACTCTCTTAAACAGACATATAGAAAACTATGCATGAAACAAAATGAAGAAGAAAAGCAGTAGAATGCAGTGAGGTTGTTTTATCCCCCACTACATCTCGGAGAGATGGGGATGGGGCTAATGGGAGCAAGCAATGGGAGAGCTCATTATCTGGCAGACCATCTGCTATTGGGAGGGAGGAACTGTCTGTCTGTCCCAGACACAGACACTCTGAATAGGCCCGCAGTTAGAGTGAAAATGTTCCTCTAACTTACCTAAATTAGCTGTACATCTGGTGTGTTTACTGACACCAATAACGTGAGAAAATGCCAGGAGCAGGGATTTTGTGAATTTTATGTAAAGAATAAAGCAACCAATCAGGTCTTACTGCAGTCATCCTAATATTCCCATGTTGTCGTATTTCTGTGAGTTTATGTGAGTCGTTTTTTTTTTTGTATTATTGTGGTTTCTTTCTTTGCAGCTCTAGTTTTTCTGTGACGTTTGTGCATACTTTAAAGTATGTTCTCGGTCTGGTTCTTCTAAAAATAATGCAAAAATGAAATAGTTGTATTCAGCGGTATAGACAGAGCCGGGTCAGTCAGATGGCTGCTGGGGGAGCTTAGTGTGAGAAGTTGCCGGGCGCAGCAGATGCTCTTTGTTGCTGTTCAGTCTATTGTTGTTGAAAACTGAGACTGGGGAGACTGGGATTGGGTCCAGCTCCCGGCAGCAGGAGGACATAACCCCTTCCTATTGGCTGCACGGTGTGTCAGTCATCTTCTCGTCCCGCCCACCGGCCCTCCTCCTTCTCCGGGCCGGGGAAGTTGAAGTAAAGTTTGAGCAACTTTGTCCGGCAGAAGTAAACTTGCCAGCAGCACTTGGCGGTCGCTGCGGGACAGAAGAGGAAGAGACAGACAAGGAGGACCGCAAACATGAAGCTGTGTCGCACTTTTTTAGGTTCGTATCTCTGATTTATTCTTTCTTTACTTGTTTAAAGAAAGAAGTATCTGCTTCGGCATCTGCCTCTCTAGAGTGTGTCTGTGCGCGTTTGTCTTATCCTGCCAATACTTGATTTGCAACAATTACGCATGATATAGATGAATATTACACTGATAATACTTTAAACGTGCTGTTTCAAGCAGTCGGAACTGTTAATACTCAGAATAAAAGCCATTTAAAGACACTCTGCGGGATTAAAGAGGTTTGTAGATCTGTCGGATCGCTCTAAAACTTAGACTCAGACGCTAAATAAACTTGTGAACTTCTCTCCAGCTACTAAACTCCGACCTCCGTGGTAAAAAAAAAAAAAAAGAAAGAAAAAAATGGCCAGACAAAGGACAGTTGGTTTCCTAGGGGACCGTGTGGCCCCGGTACCGTGGGGACAATGCCAAGCTGCGGGCTTATTAAAAACTTTTTTTTTTGTTGTGTTAGTCTGTCGGCTTGTTCCATCTGTCGAGGGACTATAGGGGCCTCCCCCGGTCCTAACCTTAGCGCTCAG